TTTTCGAAAAACGTCGAAAAAGCACAATAATTAGTAGAAATGTTCCTTTTTTGGGCGGATTATTGATAGAGAATAATGTCTTTATTACAAAAATGCTGAAAAACCGTGAGTTTTTGCCTTAGTTATTTTTTTATCGGCGAAAAACTGCGAACTCGGCAAATTTGGTTGCACAACTTCTTTCTATCATATACACCCAGCGACACCGATGCCAGCTGACTGTGGTATTGTAATGGACCCCCTACTAAACATGACACACTGTGACAACTTTATCGCCCTTTAAATTAACTACTTATTTATGGTACATCTTGAAATAAATTCTTATATGGACATTGTGCATGAACTACTCTGGTGTCCGGACACTGGGTCAGACACGTTAACTTGATCGTTAAATTAAGGCGAGAGTCACAAATACGTTAACCGCGTTTACTCAGAGTTCAAAGTTGAACCGAAATCCACGCGGTGGTACCCTTGGTCGTTGAGGCATCAGTAGAACAACCACTACTAAGCCTAAGGTGAAGCCTCACCAACACAACCGAATTTTCGTACGCGTTCGGGAGTATTGCTATTAATAGAAAACAAACACACTCCAACTGTAAGTCGTAATGAAAATAATTTTCTAACTTACTAAAAAATGATGTCAATATTGCTCCTGTGGCCGATGCTGTCATTTGCTGCATCGGCGTGATTCCATTTTGAGTATAACTTGCATTACTCATTTTGGCACCAGAAATCACCTGAAGTGCGTGAATTTCAACAAATATGTGTCAGCTTCAAACCCATTCATGGCGGACACCTTTCACTGTCGAGTTTTAAGTTCTTGTGTCTAAATATAATAATCAGTATCGCCACACGTAATAATTATTCAGCTAAAACATAACACTATGTAGATAGTACGTTCACGTGTTCACGCCCGGATCCGGAAACTCGCTACCTGTATGAAGATAGTCAACAGTAACAGCTGACAATGAAATATAGCTACCAGTAAGAAGCGTTACAAAAACAGGGATTTTGGTCAACCTTGACTGCAACGGATTAGCGATTTGAAAACTTCAGGTGATTTTACTGTAAGAGAAAAGAATTCTTGTGGAAAAAAAGCAAGAGAAAGATGCCTGTTCTGTCGTCGGTGTTGAACCAACGACGAACAAAACGGCTCGTCGAATTCGACATTGAGGGCGTTTCAAACCCAACAGCTTGACCATAGGCACCGCGTTGTTATTTGTCTAGCGGTTTTCTCTTTTCGTAACAAGTGCACAAGTTTTTGTTTACTCGTGGCACACTGTGTTAGTATTGCTTTGTTATTATTAATGACCGTCAAATAACTACAAGCCCTGACTACAGGAAGCTTCAAGTAGGTGTTCAATTACAAACACCAGATATAAGCAATGGTTATTTTACAGTCCCTCAACACCGTGCGGAGGGACTGTGGTTATTTTTTAAAGAAGGAAAAGGTCTCTTGAAATCAGCCAAAACACTGTTTAACTGCGATATCAACAGAAATGTGTATCTTCCCTTCATGGCAACGTTTTCAAATTATTTACTTGTCGTTAATCTAACTTTAAGACAGAATAATATTGCAGGGGGAAAAATACAGATAATTTTTATCCATGTTTATCTCGTCAAATCAAACACAGTATACACAAAAAAAAAATGTTCCAGGCCAAATGATTTCCACGAATGTATAGGTTTTGGCTATATTCTTCTTGTTACAGCCGTCAACTTAAACACTTTTCTAGGAAAAAAGACAACCCCGCTATAATATAAAACATTTAAAATAAATTTGATAATAGAACATTTTTCGATATCCAAACAATTCAGATTGAAATTAAAAAGGGTTCACAAAATCGAAACTCTGATACTGATATGGAAAATGTATACCCGGGACAAAGTGGAGGAATAACAGTACTCACATTTTTTTGTATTCTTATTAAAACAGTGAAAGACAAATAAATAAATATATTATTAATAACAAAAAAAATCCTACAAACAGTCACAATATATATTTGTTTATTCTGTCTCATCAGTCATCAGAAAAAACATGGAATATGGTATAATGCCACCACCGTGAAAACTAATTGTAAAATCTGTAAAAAGAAAAAAAAATGGTCGCCATTCACTGAAATACAACAATCATTTTCTATAGCGACCAGGAGTATAATTTATTGCAAAAAGTACTTGTAAATTGGTAGGTACTAGTAAACTATTGAAGTATTTCAGTATCAAAATAGGCTTCTCCATTTTTCACCAATTTCGTCTTTAGTATTGTTTATTTCGTTTGTACTGTCAGGCAATCTTGATGGCGGTCTATCAAATTGTTAGATACTAGTGACGGCTTGCTTCATGTTTACAATCAACGACCTAGTTCGGGCAAACCAGGTCATACTAGTATATGTGTATTTATTTTTAGGCAACCCAGGAATTAAGATATTTGATGGTGGTACGATTGTTATCGAAGATACGCGGGGCGAAGCCGAGAGCTTCCGAAGTTTTAACTGCGCATTTAAAACAGAGAGATATACCTCCATGGACGTCATATTTTGTGAAGTATAGTTCGGTGAAAAATGACCAATTTGGACTGTCCCACTTTAACTGGGAGGTGGACGGAGCGAACTACCATATCTTGAGAACTGGATGTTATCCATATATAAAGTACCACTGCACAAAGAGACCATGGCAACACCTGGCTTTTGAAAACACGTTCTTCAATGTACTCAAGCTATTCAATTTAGGTTGGTACAGAGGTACATTACTTGGGGTTTGCAACTACGGTGACATGATACAAAGATCCTGTTACAATCTCGCTCTCGCATAAGCATTCCAACTCAGAAAAATTCGAATGCGCATTCCCGAGGTAACTAGGATACTGGGATGTCCAGGTGGATCAAAATAGCTGCTCACGATATGACGGATTACGATAACTATATTTTCTGTACATTTTCGATGTATTACATTTTTTCTCTATGAATGTGGTAATACATGTTTTATTGTTTTACTACAAACCGCCTATGTCATGTCAGAAGGTAGTAGCATCAGTCTCGCTATCTACGAGGTGAGACTTGAATGGGATCTTGGCATGGTGTCACCATACAGGTCTCATGCCACCAATTAACCAATGGCTGCTCAATTTAAATGCCTAGCAAGGACCAATGAAATTTCTTAAATATTATTTTTCTCAGGCGCTCCCTGTTTGAGGGCGTAATCACCTGGGTCAGAGGTGAGACCAACATGTGGTCTTTTGTTTACTACTTAGCGGCTGTGTACCTGTGGGTTTATTCTGTGTGTTAATGGATGTTCTAATCTTGGTGTTTTTCCAGTGATTTCTCTTGGTGCAATCCAAATACAGTAGGTGTGTCTTGTTTACCTGAGATTTGCAAGAGTTTGAGCTGGCCAACATGTTAGTTTTTTTCATATGGTTGATTACTGGCATGTTGATTTCCCATTTTTGAGCCATATTTTCAACTTTCTTCGTCATTTTCATATAGCAATCTCGTCATATGTTAACATTGTCGTCTATGGAAATTCAATTAGTGGTATGAGCCCTGAAGTACTATGTGCGTTGCAAACCCCAAGTAATGCACCTTTGGTTGGTATCAATAGTTTTGAGGGAATCCAAGGTTAATATTGTTAAGGTTTTAATACGAATATAATTAGTGTTATTAATTTAATTATCAACCTTGGAAGGAAAGAATGTTAAAGTGATATTTTCTATATACAGTCAGTTTCATGAAGGCATGAAAGTTTTTTCTTATATATTAAGAAAATTATAATTGCAAATGACTAGAAAACAACTAGACGGATAACAATGTTCATTTAGATGCATACAGTGCATATACAATTTTTATGAACATGGCAGTAAAACGGCCAATAAAGAAAACCTGTAAAGATTCATGGGTAATAATGTTAACAAATTCCTTCTATGGCGAGTGGTAGTGTCTTTAAAGTTAAAATTTAAAGTTAAAAGTGTAAAGTATAAATTTTTATTAAAAGATTATGTCTTCATAATTGAAACGGAGTGTATGAATTGTATGGCCAAATAAAAGAAATTTAGTGTTAAGTAAATATTGTTGGAATGACTATTAGCTAATCTGCATACAGATAAATATTTTTGGCCTCATTTGCATAAAATTAACTTCTTGATTTCACCCAAAATAAATTTGTTGGTGCATTATGTTGTCCCCATTTTTTTGCAGTGTACTGGGTTGGATCAAGAGCATCTTCTTTTCAACCTGTGTCTTTACAGATTCCTCTGGATTAGTATTGTAGGAGTTGTAATCTTTGTACATATTATGCATAATAACAAAATAATGACTGCCAACTAAATAAACAGCTTCTCCAAGTCATCTATATACATCACTTGTATTCTCACTCATCCATTGGCCTATTATAATAT